TTGGAGCTATAGAAATAAACTGAATAGAATTGAACCAAAGCAACCTTCTGACCGATGGTTTAGCTTCATTGGCTAAGTTCTCTTAGTTAGCGCTAGTAGCTCGCAGACACAAAGGGACTCAATTTTAAAAGGACACTTTGGTTCTATTTAAAGAATCAATGTTAATACATTAAAACATAAATAATAATATAAAATTAAACCCTTTTTAAAATAAAGTTTGTTTTAACTTTATAAAGAAGAGCTTAAAACACAGAAAGACCCTAGAATGGAATCAAACTAGGAACCTTTTTGCAGCAAGCGCTGCTCCACCCTGCAGCTCCATCAGCAATCCTTAAGGAGGAATTTGTCTTAAGTCTTCTAATAAAGTATATGCTGAACTTTAAGAAATGAAAACGTGTGCGCTGGTATCTGCAGCTGGCAGCAGCTACCGTCATAAAATCTTGGAACATTGTCACCTGGTGAGAATCCCAGCTGCCATAAAGCCTCTCAGAGATGAATGGGTGCAGAGTTTATGGTCCCAGCTCTCTGAAGCTGCTAAATCTCCACGTAAACCTGCTGCTCTGCCTGCTTTCGCAGCCAAGCGGAGCTCCGGGACACAGAGCTGCTGGTTGATTACCTGCCAGAGAGGAGGAGGCTTGATAAACACAACAGCTCCCATGCATTGTGTTTTTGCAGCAGTGGCAAATAAACTGCCTTTGGCTGCAGGCTACTGTGAAGTTCCCACCTTGGATGTAATGTAGGAATGTTTGTAGAAAAGGTCAGACTCACAAATCACACGTTGGTTTGGCAACTTTAAAAGATTTCCACCTCTTTGCAGCCGTGATTAACCGTACAGCTCATTCAGAAACAAATAATCTGACCTTAGAGATTTGAGCCTTTTCCATGGAGGAAATGCCACGCTATATTTCTTCTGAGTGCTGTACTGTAGGTGTGATTATGCAAACCAAACACTTAGGCTGCGCAGGTCATTTCAAGGTCGTTAACGCATCAAACCTCACATTCTTCTAGGGCAGAGGTCTCAAATGGAAGGGCTGGAGGTCTGCAGCCTTTAGATGTTTCACAGCTGCACCTGAAATTTATCAGCTCATTAGCTGAACTTTACTGAAAGACATTGGAGTTTGACACCACTGATCTATATAGATATCTATATAGATATATAATATATTGTCTAGCCTTCAGTGGGACGGAGCCACCGGCAGAGTAGGATGTTGATACTGGAAACTGGTCCTTTTAACACCTCTGCCAGATGGGCGTGTCTTCAGAGGGAAGAAGTTCACGTTACATCAGCGACACTCGATCACAACAGTTCTGTCTGATCAGAAGCTAATGGCTGATTGGACGAATCCTGCAGGCTGTTGTTGAGTCAGAGACCATGATGCCACTTGGCTGCTTGGTGACTGAAGTGATGTTCCAGTCGCCATACTCCACTGTAATGAGCTGCTTTCTGCATCAGGCCGTGCGGCGATACGATATGGATATTTTTTTTACTTTTAGGGAAGAAAAGAGGAGTTCAGATGAAAACCTCAGTGTTTCATTGGCTCCTGTTCACTGAGCTCCTCCCTCCACCTCCTCAGCATCACTCAGCCTGATTATTAATCCGCCCTGTTGCTCAGCAGGTCTTGCTTTACTTGATATTTTAGAAATGTGATCTAGCTGCATTTTTACAACACAGAGAACATCTGGATGTTGGGTCTTCCAGATGTCACCCCCTCAGCTGTCCAGTCTGCAGCTGGGAGGACCAACCTGAACGTCCCATTGCTCCCCTTTAACACGCCTCTAACAGCTGGAACAGGATTCCTACGAGCCTGAAGTTTCCAGACGCACTAATTGATCCATCAAGCCTGGAAGCTGGACGGCCAGCAGGACCCTGAAGGACACAGCTTGTTGCTCCTGAGATCATTTATTTAATTAAACGCCCCCTCATTATATGTGAAACTAACCCAAAGTTGAGGAAATCAGGTTGTCTGGTGAATGAATGAATGAATGAATGAATGAATGAATGAGTGAATGAGTGAATCTTTGCTCTGGTCTTTGGTAAAACAGAAGCTCCTGTGAAGCAGGAAGCTCTCTGGTTTATGCTTCCTGTCACCTGCTGCAGAGTTTGACGCCTGAAGCTGCAGCCTCTGCAGGACTGCAGGCCAACCCTCTGAACTCTGAAGCTGATTGGCTGATTTCATGAAATAACTCCATGCTGAGTCATCATTTCTATCTTTAGACCTCAGCTCCTGTTTAGCTCAGACTGTTTGAGTTTGGTTCAAAGGTTTTCCTGTTTTAGATGCATCTTTCAAAGGACCGTCTGACCTTTAGTCCTTTTTAACGAGTCGTCCTGCATCACTGCTGCTGAATCTTCTCTCCTCTGATCCCAAAGCTTTGCTGAGTCAGTGAAAGTTTCCTGATGTTAGGAGGAGTTTATCTTTCGGCTGTTGCCATGACGCTAGGTGAACGCTAGGTGAAAGCAGTTGCTGATTTTGTCCAACTTTATTCCAATAATAGACGTTACAATTTTCAACGTCTTTTCAACGATCTGATAGTTTCGTCTTTTCTCCGTTCACTTTTCATCCAGATTCAGACGTCGTTTCGACATAAACCATCTCGTCTTTTCAACCAGTTTTTACTCGGTGGGATTAAAGCAACTGGATTAATTCCTTGGATAGAAAACCTATGTTTTTCCGGCTGCTTTAATGAACAGTTTATTGTAATTAAGCTGGAATTCATGAACCTTAGGCTGAATCTCTGTTTACGATTAGACTGAACTGGAAACTCTTAGTGATTGTTTATCGCTTAAAGCACGACCTCCTCTGCTCTGCTTCTATTGGACGGCAGAGCGGCGTTTCATGCAGTCCACCATTACTGCAGATTGTTTTACTCTAGTTTAACAACATTTGACTGAAGTTTAATTTTCAACCATCTCTATCTGTGCAGCGCCCGCTAGCGCCTCCTGGTGTTTGGGTTGGTCTTTCTTTGCTGCTTCCTTTCCTGTTGTCTCCTCATAAGGAGGATGTGATGGATAGACTCCAGGGCCTCTGATTATTCATGTTTCTGCGTTCGACAACAAAACTCCACCCTCCTATCATGTAGTAGTTTTTTCAGACTGCTGATTGATTTTTCCTTCTGCTTCATTCCACCAGGTGCGATATTTGAAGAGAACGCGGTGCGAGACGATGAGGTGTTTCAGCTGGCCGTGTCAGACCTCAGTCTGAGCGACGACATCCTCCACAGCGAGAAGATCACTCATTCCATCAAACTCATCGAGCCCAACAACCCTTTCCAGGCGGTGCAGGAAGGTAAGCCCAGTTCATCTGCAGTGTGGATGTTTGGCTCCTGGTTGTTGGTCTGAGACGATGCTGGATGCTTCTCCTCTTTATTCTGCTCATCACAACAGACACTTGAAACTGATTTGTTCTGCAGAGAAGCAGAAGATGTTGGTGACAAACAGATACTTGTGCTGCTGTGGATGGAGATGCTGCTGAATGTGCTGATTACGCTGTGAATGTTGAAGTGATTGCAGCACTTTACAGGAAGCTGGAGTGTTTGTTAGCGTTAGAGGAAAGCGATGCTGCTGCTTTCACTGGTTTTCTTCCTGCAGTTTTTGTTTGTTAAGAAAAACTTTCTGTTCCAGAAGCGCCTTCTCTGCTAAAGGTAAACATGTTTTCATAGGACAGATGATGCATAAGCATAACTGTCAGAAACTTAATCCCACAACCCGCTGGCTCTGACCTCCAGGAGTTCAGAGACTTGGAGATGTTGAGGAGCGCCACCGGTTCGGCTCGTTGCAGCCAAGTTCTTTAAATGTTTTCTTTAAAGCGTAAAGGCTGACGCCCGAGGCGCTGCTGCAGTTTTACATCCTGCTCTTCAAAGAATCCAACAGGAAGCGTGTCTGTGGTCCCACAGGATGCCTGACCTTAAGAAGCTGTAGCCTTCGGATCAGAGATGAAGGGATCAGTTGGTGGTTCTGGACAGGAGCTGAAGGATCCATGAAGTTTACATCTTCCTTAAATGGTCAACTAGACTCCATAGTTGGTGGGTCTGTGTTGAGGGGGGGGGGTTGGGGGGGTGAAATTGATGTTATTTTT